TTTTTAAAAAAAAAAAAAAAAAAAAAGGGATACAGCCCATGGAAGCTTCCTTGGAAAAAGTCATAAAAGCAGTAACTGTACAGGATGCCATTTAAAATCTTTGCATGTCCACAGTCAGCTGGGCACATGGCCAAGCACGCGTGACATCATCCCTGCCCTTGTTTCTCATTAAGAAGAATTTATACACCTAGGATCATATCCCATACGCCATTGCTGTAGATGGGCACATCAGAAAGCTATAAAGCAAGCTTGTCCTGGTTAAAGGTGACCACAGAAGTGCCTATAACCTTTTAATAGGTTCAAGACATGCCTGAGAGCATTCATGGGTGATACGCCCGCACGGGTGGTGGTGGGGGAGGAATGTCTACTTCCTCCCTCTTCCTAGCCATCTCCGTCCCACCCTTCAGGCCCAGACTGAGTCTTGCGTCCCCATGAGCCTTCTCTCTGGGCTCGTTTATCCACATCTCTTCTATTTCCTTTTTTACTCCGGCAACTAGAGATTCTACTTTCAGCTCTGCCACTAACTTGTGTGTGAGCTTTCACAAGTTACTGGATGCTGGTAGGGTTGACTTTTTTCATGTTTTAAAGAAACAGATTGGACCAGATCATTTTGGGGGTCCTTTCAGGGTCTGCATCTGTCTTTAGACTGTCCAGTTCATACTTTACACTCTCCTGTTCTCTCAGCTGCACTCCATGACTTAAGTACCAAATTATTTCAGTCTGCAATGTTGCCATATCAAACACTGTCTTTTTCCAAAAGGTATTTGGTTTGTTTAGTTTCCTTAACTAGACTGCAAGCTCTTTGTGGGCAGGGAGTTCACCTTTTGATTCTCTTGTACCCTTTAATCACCACCTCAAGGCTCAGTCCTTCACAGGCGTTGAATTCTTGCTTATTGATTGATGGAAGCCAAGTTAGATGTGGAATAAAACTTTAAAACTAAATATCCTAATAATGGTAAATTTCTTGTGTACATGTGTATTACGTATTATACTAAATTCTTTCCATGGATTACTTATTTAATCCTTATGACAACCATGAAAGGAAGGTATCATTATCCCTATTTATAGGTGAGGAAAGTAAGACTCAGAGATGGTGGGCAACTTGCTAAGGTCTCACAGCTAGCAAGTCCTGGAGCCAGAATGTAGACACAGATGGTCTGACCCGAGACCTCATGATCTTAGGTGTTCTGCTATGGTAT